ATCAGTCGCTGCAGGACAAGCTGTTGGCGGCTGGCGACAGCTCCAAATCAGAGCTTATAACTGCTCTTTGTGAGGCAGGCGGCGACCTCGACGCCCTCAACGCCACGTTTCAAGCCGAAAGCATCAGCACCAGAACCAGCTCTAACAAAGACAGCTGGGCGCCGATGACCGAAAAGCAGCTGCATGATATGTATGGAGACACCACAGCAAAGCAGATCATCCACCACAAGAAGCTGAGCGGCCAGGAGGTGGATGATGTGAACTGCCCAGGCGTGAAGGTGTACATAATGACCAAGAGCAAGAGGCAGGCAGCGCTGTGTGTGTGTGTGTGGCGCAAATGTGTTTTGTCTGGGTGTGTGTGATCGAGGATGTCATAACAATAATTCCAACACGTATCCTCCTTGGGTAAACAGTCGTGCTGTTGCCAATGTAAGACTTATCAACTCCATTACTGAGTGTTTCATGTCACCAATAAAATGCATGAGTTGTGAAGCTCCCTTTTCCCCATCCAACCCAGTTTGTGGATGGACGAAAGCCTGAACCACCTTAAATTGAAACCATAGTAAACCCCTATCACATTGGTACTTCGAGCAGGCCCTGGTGCAGGATTTTGTCCATCCACAGTAGACCCCCTGAAACGACGCAAGTCTGATGTCATTCATTGTTCTGACAGTTCAAGTTGGTGGGCCATGTGGGATTGCAAGCTATCTCCGATACCAACCGGGAAGTTTGATAAGGCGGTATGTGTCGGGGGTATGTTTCAGGGTATGTCTCGGGGAGCATGTTTCGGGAGTATGTTTCACTGGCGTCGAACTTCCAGCACAGTATAAGGGAACAAAAGGTGGTATATACCCCCTTATATATGGAGCCCCAGGCACTACATACCACTTATATAAGGGGTATATCTTGCCGAACCTGGACACTCGACCACAAATACAAACCCATGTGTTTGCAAGTTGAGCCGGCTTCCTGCAACGAAAACTCAAATTATATACTGTTGACTGGGTAGGTGCGGGGAGTTTGTTTGTGGCGACCACCAACAACAACAGCAAGCACAAAACACCAGCCATACTACTGCCACACAGTCACGGGTACACACACGCACACACACCGACATCACCATCCAATTTTCACAAACCATTGGGTGAATGTGCCTTCGCCTGCAACGCCAGGGAGAGCGGCGAGGTGCACGAGGATCGCGACCTGGCAGTTCATTTCAGCTTGGCTGATGATCAGCCGGGCGAATTATTAATTGTGCCCCCCCCGTAACATGCTATATACAGAACCCACATTTTGTAGAACCAATCGGGCCGGTTCAATTGCCGCCTCTAAGATCCACAAAATGTATATTTAGTCTTTTGGGGCTTTACCCTATACCCTGAACTTGATATACAAAGCCCCCCAGTAACCTGTCGTCGCCCTTTTTTTTGGGAGGGTGTCCTTTTTATGAGTGGGCCACTGGTGGACCTAGTGTACCTGCTGGTGTTGCTATACTTGGGCAGATGCTGTTCTGTACAACCCATCAACTTAAAGTGACACATTTGTTCATATTGTTTCTTGGCCATGTGCACTGGTATATTGGGGGTCGCCAAATAGGTTCGAACAAACGGGTTCTAGCATGCATCAAGGACTCAACATGGGTTTATTTAATAGTAAACTAGCTGCTGCTCCCTAGAACCCGTTTGTTGGAACCCGTTGGTTTCCCTATATATGGGCAACAGGAGTGGCCCTGACATCCACCAAGGCTATCACCACTTGCCAACAAACGGGGTGTGGATGGACAAGATCCTGCACCATCTAAGATTCCCTAGAAAAAGGGATTCTACTGTAAATGCCAAATGAATAGGGGCTTATCATGGTTCCAGGGTGGTGCAGGATTTCGTCCATCCACAGTATATGTTGAAGGCTCCCTATGCAGCGCAATGCTTGGGACCAACCTCCATATTTGTTTCAGACACAATTTAATGCGAATCTTTTTTTGACAATGATGGGATAGTTGATGGTTGCAAATGTTTTAGGGGCTTCGCCCAGGAAAGCGCATCCGCACTGCCAACATGAAGGTGGACGCATCGAACATTGATGCAGTTGCAAGTACTATGCGCCTCCGCTGCACTCATGAACAATGCTGTAGAACCAAGGTTCATGTTCACTGTTTCATGCCATTGACCCCCTGAAGGGCGCCTTCTAAGCTCTCTTCGGGGTGTGGCACTCCATTGACATCTGCACCCGCTACCCCTTCACAGGCGACGGATCCGCCCCAGAACTCGCAAACCGAGAAGACCAAGCGACCAAAACCTGCAAAGGAGGTGACCCCCACAACGCCGCTTCAGAAGGGATCTGACCTTGCGGAAAGAATCTTGAAGAAGAAGAATGAGGCATCATCCTTGTGCACACAGCTGAGCACTCTTCAGTTTGGAGCCGGGCTGAAGACCAACATTGAGAGCTTTGTTGCCAAGTTTGAGTCTCTGTACAGTGACGTCCGCAAACTTGTGGGATCCAAGTGCAACGAAGAAGTCACTTACGTTCCCCTTGTGAAGCGGTTCTTAGAGCTGCAATCTGAATATGATGTCCCGAAGGACGCAGCGTTGGGAATGACCAAATCCATCAAGGTCCGAAAATCGGAACCTAAGAAAAAATCATCTGCAAAGAAGCCAAAGTTGGACTAGTTGTGTTTTTTTTTGTCATGGTGCAGCTCAAGCCCTGCGGCACTTCAAACCGATCGATGCCCAATCAAAGTGTTGAACCAAAACAAGAAGGACTGGTTGCCATGGGCCTTTCTTTTGGGTTCCACATGCAGGGAGAAACATGCGCCTTGCTACATTTCAGTGGCGCCCGCAGGGCTTGGTGGTGCCCTCACACATGGTGTGACCGAAAAGGATTGGGCTTCGTTTGTGACCCTGCCACAAACGGCGGGGTGCTGGCGAGCTGGCTTCTTGCTGTGCGCTTTATGACCATAACACCTGCATGCCATGTCTTTAAGTCTTTGGGGGTGCACAGGGAGAGCCAGTGCGCTATCACAGTGGGGTGCTCCGGAAACAAAAAGATGGCGGCGCTCGTCATGTGTCAGCTTCACCAAGAAAACAATGGCTTTATCCAGAACATTGCATCATTGTGCAGCTGGCTATAGTATAAGGAACACTGTCACTGCAGCATGCCCGAAAACCCATGCCTGGGTCCGTCCCTCCTGCCCATGGCCTGCAGGTACAGCCACGCATCGTCGGGCCATCGCAAGCCTGACAGGAAGAGGCGGTGTGTGCAGTCCCGCAGATCCATCAAGGGGTGTGGGCGGGCCTGTGTTGCGAACCCTTGAGGCTCTCATGTTGGGCCCCGTTTCAATTTCCAAATCAGGATTTTTTTGGTTGGAGACCTTTCCATCCCGAAAGAAACCTCTTGCACCATACAGTATATGGCCCTGTGACGATCATCCAAACATGATTCTGGAATTCGTGGTCAAAATAGGGAAGCCTTTCTGGATGTGCTACCATTCCATTGCGTCTTTGGTGTGAAGCATGGGAGATTGCAGTGTGATGTTTCCCACCCCCGTGTGCACGAAACCCGTGAGACCCTGTTAGTTCCAGGTGCCTTGTTGATTCTGAAATTGGGGAACGACTAGGCGCATTGGGCAACAAGTCGCCACTGTATACCCCGATTATTCGTACCGTCGTCTACTGACCCAAGACCTGCATGACTGCTCTCTCACTGTGTGTTCACAGGTTATCAACAGTTCTGAAGGCTGTGTCAATGATAGTCCCGGTTAACTGGGCCAACTGTTGGGCGTCCTCTAGACAGAAGGACCCTCAATGATAATGCCGGCCACAATTTGGTGATCTTTTGGGGTGATTCATGCCCTTGCCGCACGTGTGTGTGTGAGAGAGAGAGAGAGGGAGAGATAGTGAGTGTGAGTGTATATAGCTATAGTTTGTGCATTGCGCAGGGGATCCCTAAATGGGCTCCAACAAACGGGATCTAGGGAATAGCAAATATTTTACCTCCATCAGCCAGTTCAACATCCTGTCCATGCTAGAACCCGTTTGTTAGAACCCGCTTAGTGATCCCCTAACAATGGCCTGAGAGGCACATGTGTGTGCGCAGCGAGAAACTTTTGAACAATAGTTGACAGTCATATTATGGCAGTGACAACACGTTTTCCCCTGGACTTGGGTCCGGGCCTGGGTTGGGTTCGGGCCCCGAACCGCGTTCGGTCCCCGAACCATGCACGCCTCGAATTCGGGTTTCGCAGGTTCCGCGTTCGGGCCCTGAGCCGGGTTCCGGGTTTTACTCAAACACACTATTCTATAAAAAAAACATATTCCTTTTTGCGCGTAAGAACAAGAACCCACTAATCTTGTCATGTTCTGGTTTTAACTCGTCTCCGCCCCGAAGCGAACACACCATTGTTTAAGCACTGAAACCCACCAGTCCAGCTAAGTAAAATGTTTGCCATTGTCTTACACTCACAGGGCTGTTGGGGCAGCGCTTGGTTGAATCCAAAAAGCCTTGCAACACAACCACTCAAGTTGAACACGATCTAATGGGACAGCATGTGCTTGGTAAAGCCAAGACCCTCACGATAGAATAACCAACTTATTGTTTTGCTAGAGACTTCAGGGTTCTCACATGCCCATTTCATACTAGTAGAACATATGGGGCCTTGAGTCTAGCATCTCAGGCTGGCTGATGAGCTGGATTCCTTGGGGTGCCAACTTCTAGCAGAAGAGGTTGGAGCTGGCGCAACTTGCCTGAGCAGGCTTTACGGCGGCGCCTCTTTTCTAGGTCCAACCCATGAGATTCCATGTAGGGAGTATTTACCAACATTTGGCGGTGTGTACAATTGGTTTCCCTACAACTGGGGTAAATGTTTTCCCTACATGGATTCTCAGTGAATGTGCGGACTAAGGCAAGTAAATACAAAGTTTGTGTGTGCTGGCGAGTTTACATGTTTTGGGGAGAAACCCGGTTACAACCATTATTCACATATGGTCTTTGTTCGGTCAACTCAGGGGCTGTCTGTGAGAAAGACGGCGCACATCGCTGCTGCTTTCGCCAGAGATGGTGTCAGAGGCCGCTCTATCACGCAGCTGGCTGCATCAGGCAGAGAGCGCGACTTTTTTCGATGGGTACGATCGCCTGTAGAACCTTACAACACAGAGGTTCCGATTATGGCCACTGTGGGGCTGGACAAAAAGATCGTGACAGCTGAGGTGGGGTTTGTACTTCCGTCGGATATGCTTGCAGCGATGTATTGCAAAGGCGAGGAGGTTATGAGACAATGCATCCTTGGCGCAGACGGTGCTGCAGGCATTGCCTCCTACTGGGCGAAGGAAGACCCGAGCTTTCTTCGGGAACTCGACCTGTCGCACGACGAAGCGCTCCACACAATCCCGATGGGTTTCCATGTGGATGGGGTGCCGAAATGGCATGATGAGAGCGCATCGTTCTGGTCGTGGATGACGCCTATGACGACAGCGAGCAGCTTGGTGACTCGCCACTGCGTTGTTGGCATTTCCACGAGCAAAGTGTGCGTTGAAACGCGGCGTGCTGTGCTCGACATCATTGCGTGGGATTTGCAATCGCTCAGGACAGGTGTCTGGCCAGTAGCTGACCACTTGGGCCGGGAGTTCGCGGCTGGCAGCTCTCGAGCGCGCCGGGCCGGCACGCGCATCGCTGGACCTTGGACAGCTTGCTTTGCGTTCTGGAAAGGCGATCAGGAGGCGGCGGTGGATGAGCACCTTATCAAGAATCATTATCGATGCAACTTCGTTTGTGACTTTTGCTACGCCTCAAAGGTGCACATGTACCTTTCCTACGGAGATCTAACAGAAAGCCCCAATTGGCTGGACACTATGTGCGTTGATGACGCTGACCCTAGTCCCTGGCGCAAGGTGGCGGGGTACTCCAGGAGGCGCAGGCTGTGGGACGGAGCCCTGAATGCACAATACAAGAAATACAGGCAAACGCGTTGGGTTAGTGCGCGATGCGCTCAAAAGGATTCACTGGCCTTATCTGAGCCTTAAGATTGAACCATTCACTTACTCCTTCAAAAACTTGAGCCTTGAGCCAAAAGTAAGCCAAAACGATACGTCCCCAAAAGTGTTTGTTGGGCTTGATGGCAAGTACAAAACTCATGCACCTGAGCCAAGCGGCCATTCGGCGCGCATGGTTTATGAAGAAACAACACGTGAACTAAACACAACACACCAAACTTTGGAATATTGTGGGGGGAACCCTGGAAGACTATTTTAGAGGGAGGCCAAAGGTTTAAGCTGTTATTTCCGGGGGCTTTGGAGGAGTGGGTTCATACCCTGAGGGTACGGACTGAGATTGGCCGAAACGAACAGTTGCACACAACGTATGAAGGCATAAGGGTATTGGCTTCATTGAGCATAGGGTCTGTAGGGTCTGTAGGGAATGAAATCCTTGCCGAGCCCAGGAATGCACATCATGCACCTTGGCACACTGCGTGACCTTTGTGGGAGTGTGATTGTATATTTCTTGGAAAGTGGCTGCCTGTCAGCAATTCAGACCTTCCCTTTGCTTTGATTGATGGCTTCGATATGCATGAGATCCAAGTGTGAGTATACCCTGTTGTTTGTGATGTTTTTTGAATCAGTAAAATGTTTCACATGGGTTCAAAACCTTGCAGACCCCGACTTATGTTGCGTAGCAATCCCGTGTTACACTGTCCATGGATTGCCCCTTTCACCTCAGGACAGATCCATGACTATGTTGGCCTTGACCGCGGAGTGGACCCTGACGAAGCCCTGCACAGGGTAACCGTTCTGGCCCAGACGTGGGCTCGCACTCGCAAGCTGGATTTGTCAATGAAGCCTTTGTCAACAAGCCGTTTGAGCTACACTGGCTACAAGTATCCTGAACTTGACACACGGGTCAAAGCTGCCAGAACACGGGTGCTTTTTGAGTTTGTGACACATATGGCACTGGACATCGCCACTTGTCTTATATCAGGCCACCCCTGCCCGGGCGCGCCTCAAGCGGGATGGCAGGCACTCCATCAAAAGCGTGGCTCGCGAAAATGCAGGGGCGACACACACCAAGTTAATGTAAATATCTGGGCTTGGATGGATGTGGGATACACTCTGGGCTGGGCAACCCGGTTTCACGCAATGACAATTTTCCCAAAGTCCCCCAACAAATATTGGTGTTTGATATTAACCCTTCTCCTTTGCTGGTGTCTCAACCCACATTGGCTGCGTGTGTCGGGTCTAAACGTTGGCTATACCACTTTGACTGATACGTTCTTAGGTGTCGCAAGTTAAGCTCGAAGCCATGCATGACCCATATGGAGTTGCCGTGGTGCGAAGGTGGCAGTTATGTTGAAGTGTGGTTTGGGCAACGGGCTATGAGTCATGAGGGTTCGAGGGTTCTGTCGGCTGCTCTGGGAAAAAGTGCCAAATACGGTTTTCGATGTCTCACGTGACCCCTTTTCAAGATGCCACTTTTCTCCAAACAAGGTAAGCGCAGGTTGAAAAAGGGTACCTTTAAAGCACCTAGCCCTACCCCATGGGGGGGATTTGTGTTGATGGATGAAAATGTGCACTGGCTTTGGGCATCTTCAACTTCAGGAACAAACGCTCACACGACTCGCCAGTAGCACCACAGCCTGAGGCTCATCCAGAGTGGCATACAGAAATGCCGTGGACACATCAAGCCCCCAAAGAGACATTTTCAACCTTGGGAGCAATCGTTGAAATGCTGAATTAAGTGGGGAGGCGGGTGGCCCTTGAAGATTGATGTGCAATTTGTGCAGCTTCATTTCCCCTTGTTAAGTATCTGAATTCGGATGTCCCCGTGCCCTCCTTGAGACCATCCAGCTCCCTCCATCCCCCTCCCTTGCTTGACCATATGCTCCTGAGAATCTGTTTGCAGGAAATATTTACTGACATTTGGTGGATTGACCAGTTATTTGCCTTTATATGGGTGTAAGTGTCAGTAAATATTCCCTGCATGAATTCCCGGCGACTGGTTAAGAAGTCATCCTTCTAGGGGTCATTCTTTCCAGGGATGCTTCTTTCTAGAAAACCTCTTGAAACCCCAACAAAAATGGTGGGTTGTTTTTTTCAAGAACGATGGTTGAAAATAATGGGGAATCAACCCCAAATATTGGAAATTGAGCTTGTTGATTCCCTGGCAAACCCCCCTGCCAAAAACAAGGTATGGCTCAAAGAGGTTTACAACAAGTTCCCTGCATGGAATCTGAATGCCGGGGGCATCCCTGCTAAAAAACATAGGCTAAATTCGGGCCCTGAAATTGTTCTTGGCCTTCATTGACCATTGCAAAGCAGGATGTGTCTACGTGTTTATTACCCATGTGCTAGCAACTATGTGTATCTTGGGCATCACCCTCAGTAGCTGTCATTGAATTATGCAAATTAATCCTGCTAGTGCAACGTCTCCGCTTGCAACCAAGGAAAGTACGCTGATGCCTCCTGGCGCCACTGCGCTGGAGCTCATGAGGGTGCGAATGATTTGCACCAGTGTTTGGGCCCTGTCTCTGTGCCTCTCCACGTGGTACAAGGGGGATCGACCGTTTCTTTCACATCTGCAAACAACGACATCAGTTGCTCTTGGCCGTCTTCACTTGAGATCATATCAATGGCTTGCTGCGGATGCGTTACGTGCTCGCAAACTGCTTTTTTATATCCGGCCAAAGCATCATTATCTCTGGCATCTTTTGTCAGCGACCACCGCCTCGAAGTTTAATCCTATGCAGCTGTCAAATTTTATAGACGAAGACCACATGAAAGCCCTTCGGGGGATCAGTTTGTCTTGCCATCCGAGAACATTTTTGAAGACATGGGCAAGACGCTACATCTTGAAACGGCACTTGGTATGGCACCGCATCAGATCGGAAAAGGCGCGTGTCAGATGAAATATATGGGAATGAATGACAATATGATAACAAATGACAATATGATAATGAGACATAAATATCGAATCTTTGGTTTATATTATTTTTGCCAACTAGTGGTCTGATACTGGCGATGACGCCAAGCAGAACAGGGTTTGTCGATTCCCGTGCTGCATGGTATCTTGCAACATATGTGGGGGGCTTGTTTGTTCCTGCCCTGAAACTGTGAGATTTGTGTTCTTGTGGCAGCCCATGCACTTCCTGAAACAACGTTGGAAATCGCAATGACTCATGTGTGCCACAACCAGTTCCATATGGAGCTCATTGGCAATTGCACGGTTTGCAGGCCCATCCCCAAAAAATCATTTCACACTGCAATGTGTCTCAATAATAGTTATATATTTGTCTTCACATGATATTTGTGTTCTCATTGAGCTTTAGACCACCGGACGTGTATATGTTTGATATATAACAAATAAAAACACAAGTTCGAAATCCATTTTTAATGCAAAGAGAGAGAAAGAGAGAGAGAAAGAGAGAGAGAGAGAGAGCAAGAGAGAGAGAGAAAGAGAGAGAGAGAGAGAGAGAGAGAGAGAGAGAGAGAGAGAGAGAGAGAGAGAGAGAGAGAGAGAGAGAGAGAGAGAGAGGGAGAGAGAGAGGGAGAGAGAGAGGGAGAGAGAGAGAGAGAGAGATAGAGAGAGAGCGCGTAACCGAGTTCGTGGCATGCTCGCAGCACTTTCGCAACTCGAGGTGCAGATTGTGTGCAGTTGGCGCAGCACTTTCACAAATACCAAGGACAAAACTTGCCACACCGGCAGCAATGCGTTACCAAGTGCGATGTGGATGGCAAGACAGGCACCCAATATGCAACCGGTTGAATCATGATAATGCGTCCGGTTGCATTATGAGCGGGCTGGTTGCATATGCCTCTGAGAAAACGCGACCGGTTGCATTAAATGCGCCTAAGGGTTCTCCAGGTTGGCCGCCTTCAGCGACCTCAATGGCGAGACAGACGATCTCGCGGTCCTACTGAGCGAAGCAGATTGGGTGGAACACTACGTATATCTCGCGGAATCGAGAGATGAGGAGGAGTTTTCTCTCACGCGCGGCACTCTGATCTGCCTTTGTAGATATGGGATTGAGGTCGAAATTTATGTGCCGAATATGAGATGTGACCCGCGGGAATGTGTGTTTTGTAGACAGGATAGCCCTGCGGAGTCTGGGTTGTATAGTTCAAGCGAAGAAGACGAGAGCGACGGTTAAGCATGCAAAAGAGAGCGAGCGAATGATCGTGCTTTGGAAACGCACGCGGTGGAGATCGCAATTTGCTTGATACTGCGCCAGGTGAATATTGGTCAGCGTCAAGACGGCATCTGGGCATCAGTCCTTTTTTTCTTATGTTGCCCACTATAAATGATTCTGACTCATTGGCTTGTCGCTAAGGAACTACAGCGGCATCGCGCCGAGAGGCGCGGCCGTGATTCTTTTTTGGCCGGGTGAAAATCCGACCCTGCGAACCCTCCTCGAGGGTCCCGGCCGGGCAACCGACGCGCGTCGGGCTAACCGTCAGCAAGCGCCACGCGCGCTTGTCGAAGAACAAGGGCGGCTGACGGATGCAGGGCGGTGCGGCATTCGTGTCGCGATAACACCGAAAACTCCGGAAGAAGAGGATTGACTGCCGAAACGGGGCGCCCTATATAATAGGGGTGACCGGAAGCTCCGGAAGAAGAAGGTTGACTGCCGAAACGGGGCGCCCTATATATAGGGTGGCCGGAAGCTCCGGAAGAAGAAAGTTGACTGCCGAAACAGGGCGCCCTATATAATAGGAGCGACCGGACGCTCCGGAAGAAGAAGATTGACTGCCGAAACGAGGCGCCCTATATAATAGGAGCGACCGGACGCTCCGGAAGAAGAAGGTTGACTGCCGGAACGGGACGCCCTATATAATAGGAGCGACCGGGCGCTCCGGAAGAAAGGTTGACTGCCGAAACGGGGCGCCCTATATAATAGGAGCGACCAGACGCTCCGGAAGAAGAAGGTTGACTGCCGAAACGGGGCGCTCTATATAATAGAAGCGACTGGACGCTCCGGAAGAAGCCACGTCGCATAGAGCAATGGGCTCAACTTTGTCTGCGTTTGTTGCAAAAGCCGTTTGTTTCCGAAAAGGCCTCAGGGGGGCGGAGGTCACACCAACAGCCAGCTTTGCTGATTGCTACTTGTAGCGCGCAACCATCCGCGGTCAAGTTCTTGGCGATAACCTTGGAACCCGCGCAATATAGTCTGCGTACACCAATTTCCAGGCGACAATCTGAAGATTTTCAATATAGTTTCAAGGATCCGCCTGATAGTTCCTAAGACTGGTGCTCGAAACACGCCAATTTAAAAAAAATGTCCCCTATATAAAGAGGGCCCCGAGCCATTTTTTGCTTGCGTTTAAAGGCCTCGCTAAGTCGCGTCGAGTCCTTTGGTCAACGAAAATGACTATTTTGGTCGTTTCTCTTAGCCTTTTCATATCCGCGCTCCGAGCATGTTTTGTTCGGTCTACATTCGCTCAGGTTGGTTTATCTGAAGCTAAAATGTTAATCTAAATTATCGCGAAGTCGATCGAGCTCCTCTTTTTGATGTTCGAGCTTGTCTTTCGCGTTCGTTAGGCGAGCATGATCTTGTTCGATCTCCCTTTTAAACGCTCGAGTTGTTCAACTTGGTTGATCTGATCGAGTTCAATTTCAATCTTGCCTAGATCAAGCTTGAAGTGGTTCATAACTCTTGCTCGTTTGGTCGAGCATCTTAGTCGAGTTATGTCTTTTCGCTCACGCTCAGAACGTTTTGTCGAACTGCGTTCGACCTGTTTAGAACGTCGTGCTCGGTCTCTCACTCGACGTGCTTACTCAATCAAGTTTAGGGGTGATTTAGCTCGACCTTTTCGGATTACAGTGCAGGGATTCCCCTATATAGAAAAACTTTCGAAGCTTTGAGGTCTCCGCTACTCGCTCTCGACATTTGCCTAGGGCGCCACCACACTGTGTTGGCGGACCCTAAACCCTAAACCCTAAACCCTAAACCCTAAACCCTAAACCCTAAACCCTAAACCCTAAACCCTAAACTTTTAGTGGCCGCCATATGCGCCAACACAGGTGTAAGGTTGTGCGTCGATCTCAGTGTTGACAGACCGGTCAAGCGACATGAGATCGATGCTCAATTAAGCCGTCTATCGAGATATGTGAGTTACAAAGTTTAAGCTTGCCTCAATTTAGACTAGACCAACGTTTCAAGCTCGAGATGATAGATTTAAACTGTCCATTGAATCGGGCGAGACTGAGGCTTAAACTTTTCATTGATGGAGCATCGAACGTTCTAAACGCTTAAACTGACCTCGCCCCAAATTGATCAACGCCGCAAACTCGAGGTCGGAAACGTCGTCGTCTTGGCCTCCAACGAGCTATGCGCTGCCCCGTGCTTGACCCGGCCGCTGATAAATTCTTTGCGCGGGATCATATAGAACTAGCCAGCGCTGCTCTAAATCTAGAGATCTGGCCATTTGGCTGCCCTCCAAGGCTCAGCTCTGTCCCGGGAAGGTGATTCTGTTTTCTTTTTATAAAAATCAGGATTTGGGCTTGGCCCGGTCGCTGATAAATTCTTTGTGTGGGATCATGTAAAACTAGCCAGCTCTGCTCCAAATCTAGAGATCTGGCCATTTGGCTGCCTTCCAAGGCTTAGCTATGTCCCGGGAAGGCGATCCTGTCCTGTGAGAGGGGCCAGGCCTGTTTGACGACCCTCAGGCCCAGCCTAAACAGAAGACCCACCCAAGCAAGGCCCAGCCCAGCCCAGCCCAGCAACCAGTTGGCCAAAAAAAATCCACCCTCACCTATGCCTGTTGGTCCAGGATCCTGTCTGGAGGGCCTGGAAAAGTCCTGGAAAGGCCCAAGAGGGCCTGGAAATTCTCAAGCCTCCAGCTGCAAATGCGCTGAAAATCGCGAGCCGAAGAAAAGCTTTTGTCACGAAAAGCATGACCTCCCGCTGGCCAGGCCGCCCGCTCCACGACTAGCGCCAGGACTTCTTGTTGCTTGGCGTTCAGGTTGGGCCGAGCTGGCCTGCCTTTGTCACAAGCGGGCGGACCGCGCTCACTCCCGGGCCCTCCTTTTGCATTGGCGCCTCCCTTGCTGGCTTTCTCCCCCTTGGCACGGGAGGCCTTGGCCGCCTCCTCTAGCTCGTCGTGGTCTTCCACGGCTTGGCCGCCATGTCGGCGTAGTGTTGGGCGAAGTTCGGGTCGCCCTCGCGGGACGCGGCCGACCCGCCCCAGACTTGTTTGGACAGCTGGGACATCTGTTCCGCGCGGGCGATTCGCTGCGCCTTGGCGGTCGCGTCCTCTGGCGTCTCTGCCTCGGCCTCTTCTTCCTCTTCTTCCCCAGCTTCGCCTGGCTGCGCGGCGCCTTTAATGCGCGTGGCTTGCGCCGCCATGAGGGCTTCTTCCTCGAGCTCCATCGGTTCGTCTTCGAACTCGTTCACGCTGTTTTACCGCGGCTTTCGCTCTTTCTTTCTTTTTCCTTCTTGGTTCTCTTTTCTCATTATTTCCTTTTTTTTCTTGACTGTGCGCGCGCGTGTGTATGCGCGATTGCGCGCGCGCAGTCGCAACCAACGCTCAAGACGCCACTGAGTCTGTAAACACGTCAAAGAAACGGCAGCAGCAAACCCCTGAGCGACAACTGTTCGCGGCATCCAGATAATGTCAGCAACATTCTCACACAGTAAAATTGAGGCGGCGCAGTAAAAAAGGAAAACACTTTCTGCCGAATCCTCGAAATGTCTAATGTTGGATTCTCCAAGCCTCATAATTTGGAGCCTGGAGTCCAACATATCCAAATACACATTCCTTTCCAAATACGATTTTGATCCGAATTGAATTTGCGTATTGAATAGAATTTAGTAAGCACATAGTTCACCACCATTCATAATTCGCCATAATGTCTATATCAGATCAGAATTTGAGCAGGAATACCTCTCCAAATAAGGAAAATATCATT